CCCTCCCCGAATTGTTAATGTTAAACAAACAAAACCCCGGCGATTTTTCTGGGTTTTGGCTCTCAGATAACTCACAAGCAGCTTTGACTGCGAATTCCAGGCTTGTGCTACCCTTCATCCCTAATGAAAGCAACGCACCTCGCTTGGCCGGGAGGCAGGCATTTCCAAACGGCAAACCAAAAAGCCGTGCCCCGGGACTGCAGGCGGGTACTGGCACCCGCCGGCTGCGTGCTGGGGACGCCGACGCTGGGAGAAGCGGTCTTGACCGCTCTATTTTTAGGTTTCAGTGCAGCATTTTTGCCTGTGTTATTTATGCTTCCCCCCTTCTTTTAAGAACGTCTGGAAATGTTTAAGATGTGTCCGATTGTATTAACATGTCTTTGAGAGCTTTATGGTGTCAATTTGATTTCCACTCTTTTAGAAACAGGGCTTTCCAATTTATGATTTTATTCCTTTTATATCACATAAGCACCTACTTCATTTCACTGCTTTCAGGTGTTATGTCAATCTGAAGTTCACACTAATGCATTCGGACATCACTTACATATTTCCATTTGACACGTTTCAAGCAATTCCCCCGCTGGTGCCACAGGAGGAAGGCGGCGTTTTGTTCCTCCGAGATCCTCTCTCGCTGGCCCCTCGCTGTCCTCTTCCAGCAGCGTTGGCAGAGGTAGCTAAATCGGGGCAGATGAAGGGTGTGGGAGCAGCACACTGGTCCTCTCCCCATCCCCTCGAGTCAGCCCAAGCCCAATCCTAATCGCGCTCCTTCAAAAGCAGGGGACAGCAGCCAAATGAGACACCAATGACTTCTGTCACCCACCTCCACGCTCACTTGCGACCAGCTCCCCTCTCTTTCGGGCACTGGGATGGTCTCTGGCCAGAAGCCACGTTAACATTGTTCTCTCAAAATGAGAGAGGCTCCTTGAAAGCCACGCAGCAGCGGGGCCCGAGGGGTGTTCTCGGCTCTCTGGAGCCCGTCCAGGGCATCAGGTTTCAGAGCAGGGGCTCCCACGCCAGCTGCATGGGGAAGGAACATCACCACTGGGACAATTAGAAAGAAGAGCCATCCGTTTCTATTCAGGGGATTCAATTTTCTTTCTACTTCATCAGATTAACACCAATGTAACTCCATTAACTACCAGGGAGTTGCTCTTGATCTGAAAATCAGACCCATCGGATTTTCTGGCTTTTGCGTGCAGTCACTTCATTCACAGGAGCGAAGGTGGATGTAGGATGTACCGACAAAAGCCCTCCTTGTATGTGGTTTGGGGGGGGGGTTGGTTTTTTTTCTTTCCCCTGTTGACCCTTTTTTTTTAAATCCCAAGGACCTCACTGTGATTTTCATTTTCTGCTTGCTGATGGCAGCCATGCTTTTTCTCTCCTGTTCCTCCCCCCGTGCTGCTCCAGCACATTGCTGATGATGGACACCAGGAAGAAGTCTAGAGGTGCTTCCTCTTATTTCAAACCTCACTTTCCAGGACAGTGAGCAGTGTTTTTCTAAGCCTTTCATCGTTCTGACAAAGCAATAAGTAAATGCTTGCTCAAGTTCTATTGGAGGTCCTGTAAGAACATGCATTATTGCAAGGAATGGGAAGTCTCAGTACTTTCTCTGAAACTTTAAAGGCATCCTGAAGTTACCTCAGCTCCATGCTGCGCCAGGAGCCTGCACCCAAAGTTACATCATGAGTCATCTTAATGCACCAAGCCTGGCGAGAATGACAAAACAAAAATCCTGGTCAAGAGCCTTGCTTTGTGCAATGATTGCTACTAAATAAAATCATTATGATGAACCTCCTTAGCAATAAGACAGGTCTGAAGCATTACCATGATCCCTTCTTCAGCATTGCACTAAAATTGGGTCGTTGTTCACTGTCATCTCACTATATTAACCTTGACTCTACAGCTATACTCTATCAGTGTTTCTATTTGGACAGGATAATGTGGCCCCAGACACCGATTCCCACCCGAACCACTCCGCTATCCTCTTGACACCACCACACCTTCTGGGCCTGGCACTGGTCACTCAAATGCCAAACACTACTCAGCACAGCGGGATGTACCCACAGACCGCGCTCACCTTGACACACAGGTTTTCTTTGCGTGCAAGATTTAACGATTTGCAGGGTTCCTGCTTAGCAGGTAACAGCATCAGTAGTGCTTACAGTCTGCTTGTTAAACAGGATGTAAGGTTTGTCAAACTACCTCAAACAAGGATGAGTATCTAAAACATTATGACCAGCAATATTGCCTCTTTCCACCAGGTTTCACTGCAAAATCCCAGTCAACAGTTGTACATGCATGTTGTCCAGTAAATGACAAGCTACATGGGCATCTCACCATTGCAAGTTGCTGCCAACCTCACTTTAAATCTCTTCCCCTAGCTAAAAATATCATTACGCCACCTCAGAACCATCACTATCTTTAGACTCATGAACCTGTTTGCCACGTTGCATCTTCTAAGGTCCTTAATTGTTATGATTAATAATGATAATCAAACTCCCGCAGCCCATTTTGCCTGCCTAGCAGTTCTACAGATCTTTCATAACCAGTATCAGAATAGGCAAACACGTACTGCTTGCACCCAGAGCACCGCTGAACAGCCAGCCAAGGCTCTCAGTGAAGGCAGTTTCTCCACCTATTCCAACTAAACCTGACAGCAGGTATACCCAACTGACCAGTCACTGAGAAAGTTTTCTCCCTTTGAAAACTCTACTTTTTGGACAACCATGAACTAAGCAAAGCTTGCGAGCTGACGTGGAGCTAGCCTTTGATTCAGTGTCTAGACATCAGGACCAACAGATGAGGAGGATTTGGCAGAAGGCAGGCAATCTATTTAGTTGTGCAACTCGCTCAATACCCCATTGCTCAGAAAAGTTATGAATTTGAGCAAGGAGGTTTGTCTGAAAAGTTCTTAAGCAATTTTCTGTACTTATTTGAAACAGGAATCCGATTATAACAATAGTTATAGAATTAAGAACAACTCTCGCCCTGGCACTAGAAGAGGAAGAAATAAACAAAACCAAACACTCAATTGTATGTTTCTGTCTAACGACCTCCGTATTAAAATGGAGAAACATGACTTGACATACAGTATGACCCCAATTAGCATACGACGGGCTGATTATACCTTGGCATATGGATGAGCCCTTTGCTAAGAAGAAAATATCAACCATATTCATAGTGGCTGCTGTTATTTAAAAACAATGCTTGAAACACTCAGTGACTAGAGGCTGAAGCCAAAGAGAAATGGTTCACATGGTACCAAGATTCGGAGAAGGAGCTTACCTTCCCTGCAGAACTAGATTTGCTATTTTAAGCCCTGTTAGAGAAACCAGGGGGGGCAGGGGGAATATGCAAGTATAAAACATTTCATTCCAGTATGCATTTCCTCCCTGAAGCAGTACGGGCCCATTGGTATTTCTCATCGACTTCAAGCAGCATTCAGTCAGACCCTAAAAATGATTGTACCATGCGTCCAAAGCACGCTGCTGTGCTTGCTAGTCATCTTTCATTATTCAAAAGCAGGCTAAATTCAGTAAATAATTTTTACATGTGTCAGGATGACATTTGAACTATTGTTGGATCCTCTTCAAACTGGGGCATTCAGAATCTCTCTGGGTTTACCCCCATCTCACCACACTTCCACCAGACAAGGGATTCCAGCTACTTCGCTCCATCAGTCTTCACTGCAGGAGAGACTATAGAGTACGCCCCGAAGTCACTGTATTGAGGCTGTGTTGGAATAAGGGAATATACTGCAAAGGAAAAGGCCCCTAAACACTCCCTCACCTTTACTGCTGAGGAAGACCTAGCCCAGCTAACCCTGATGCTTTTATAGAGCAGCTCTACAGAAAGGTGGTGCAGCAGGAATAAAAAATCCCCAGCGCTTTAGGCTTTGAAAATTAAATCCACATTAAACATCATCTGGTGGCCAGTGCCATGGGGTACTGATCCTGAAACACACGTTTAATACAAGACACGATGCACTGAGATGCTGAGTTAGGTTTTGGATATGAGATAAAATATGCAAGCTCCTGGAATTTCACATTTCTGGGCTGCGAAACAATTTAATGCAAAAGATAAGGTTTCTGCATTGCAGACATTTTTCTTCTTATTAAATATATAATGTATTTGGTCATGAATGTGAAGAGACTTTATACAAAAGGAGGCTTTAAGAAGAAAACTTGAAGTGTCCTTGATAAAGCTGCATAGAATAGCTGTAGCAACAAAAATGAGGCTCAGTAAAACCAATACTAAACACCCATTTAACTACCGTCTGGTCTAGCTGTCATTTCCCAGAATAACGAAGCTTGCATTAATGGAAAGCACTTCTGTACACATACATGTTATCATTCTCGAAGAAGCTAAGCGAGTCCAAGAAAACATTTTGTGAGTAATACATGTTTAAAGAAGAAAACTATAAACAACAGTTATGGAAGTATGTACTTTAACCAGCACTATGAACATCCCTACACCAACAGAAAACTATTTTATACTATTAAGGGTTTGATGCAAACGTGGCAGTCTCTAAGCCTCTGCAATATTTCTAAGAGGAAAGAACCCCCCTCCAAATCATTATCAATTAATAGGCACATAAAAGAAAACCAGAGCATACCCTTCAGAATTTATAACAACATCTATAACGCTTAAGGCGTATTGGACAACACCAAGTATCCCACCTTTACTTGAGTAAGTAATGAGAGTTTACAAGGTCAGCCTTCATCTGAAAGTGTTGGCTGAAGTTCCCAGCTGGTGTAAGCCAGCACGTTTCCTCTGAAATCATCTACTCCCATTTCGGCTGCCGAGAGGCTGGCCCATAAAGTCATTTTTGTTTACACAACTGAAGACGACAGGGGCTCAAACCCTAATCATGCTATGGCCCAAAGCTTCCTAGCTGCATAGGTTCTCTCCGCCTGAGGCCCTGAACTACTGCAACTCTTCTGGAATTTGGTAGCTTTCCAGCAGTACGTTTGCAGCACAAGCAACAAACCACAATCAGCTTTTGAGGAGTCTTTTTTATTAAGATAAATCCAGCAAAATTCCTAACAGTGGGTACATACAACCAACCTGCCCTTTTAAAAGAAATGTTTGTATTTCATTTAAAAACATGATTACACTTTTATTTATTTATTTTTTTCAAAACTGACAAAATAAAATTACATTTGGGAAACAACAGATTTCCAGCTCTTAGGTTTTTCATGAAAATAGCTCACCTTCTTTATAAAAGCAACCCACAGAACCACTGGAATGTTTAACACGGTTATTTGTTTTGAGACCTCCCCACTTTAAGAAACCATACAACACATACAAGGGTAAAATTAAAATCTGAAGTCTGTAAGCATGACTTACACAAAAAGGGACACACTGACAGAAGTCAAAAGCTACCACCACTTATTCTTTCCATGTACCATACAAACTATTACAATCACAAAATTTAAAAACAATGATTTTTTTGTTGTTTTGTTTGTTAGGGATTTAATTCCCAAGTAACCGAGATGAAGATGTTCCATAATTAAATTCATGCTAAAAAAACCTGCATTTATAAAATAGTTGATAAAAATATTCCTCTCTGTTAACAATACAGCATGGAGGTACGGATACCAAATGATGGAGATATAGGGCAGGGTTAACATTACTCGGACTTGGCTTCCTTATCATCAGATGCTTCAGCAGCTGGTGCCTATAAAAGTGTTTGGGAAGAATAGAAATATTATTCGTAATGCTAATCGGATTCCATTCCAACAAGCATCAAAGAGAGACTAGTTTGTTAGCACAGACATGGACAACATTTTGTGTAGATGGACAAGAATGCACAGCTACTACAGAAAATATCAACACAACAGCATGTCGGCTGGTAATTCTAAAAATTCAAACACAGATGAGTATTAACTGATGACCGAGTTAATTTTGGAATGTTAAGTGCCTCCAAAGAGGCAGAAGTCTAGAACGTGTTTTAGATTAGGATCAATCATAAGCTAGGGAAAGTTCAAGTCCTCATCTTCGTAAGTCACAGGGAAGTGTAAGAATTACACATAAAAGCGCGATACTGGTCTACCGTCCGAACTTCAGGGAAATTGATTCTCACCTGTTTTCTATAAAAAGGTCCGCTATTACTTTTTAAGTCAACACATCAAAATTGCAAAGCTCCTATCAAAGATCCTTTGAAGTACACTAACCCCATATTAATTTTTAGCAAAGAAGCTCCTGAATTACTTTTAAAAATGAAAGAATAAACGACCCATTAACTGGATAATGATACTCAACACATGAAGAGAGATCACCGTAAATCAAAAGTAACAGAGAACACAACAAGCTAGTCTGTGCCTACAGGGGCAAAGGGAGCCCATAGCAAACGTTGCGTTTCTACTACCAGCAAGGAAACTGCTAGGAAAAGGCCATCGGGAACTGACTGAAGCTTGTAGCTAGTCCTAGAAAATGGCAGCTCTTAGGTAAGTAGCTGATACAGTAAGAACCTGTAAGAAAGAGGCTTGCAGACCAAGAGACAAGACCAAGTTTATTTTGCAGATGTCTTGTTGAACTGTTCTGAGGCGAAGAATTGTTTTAAAGAATTGTGTAAAACTTAAAACCAGATTTCTGGCACAGTACCAACCCGTGCTGAGCAGAAGAGGCAATCCAGCAGTCCAGAGAGGATATGCAAAGTCAGCTCAGGGTTGGATAGCAATCTTACTGAGCTCTATTGTTCCCCAAATATTCTGCATTGCTCTTGTGCCAACCCTGAGAGGGACACTACGATAGCACAGACCACCTGTGGAAGGGCTCTATCACATAGCAGGAATGAGTTTGAAGGAGAATGCTATTCTTTCAGGCTCTCCCTGGGAGTTGCCCTGTGCAGGTACTGCGGCTGGTCTGTCTTTACAGGATGGCAGTGAAACACAACACACCACCTTCTGACAAGGAGGCCCAATCGTTGGCTCCTGCGGATGTATTACCAATACATCTGTGTTTATTCCCATGTTTACTGTAGCTAAAGTACCTCATTAGTTTTGGTATCTCCGTTTTCAGAGTGGTTTTCTTCTTTAGCATCCTCTTGTTTAGTTTCATCTTTGCCTTTGGCTCCTTTCTTCCCTTTTGTTGCTGCCTTTTTGTCCTCCTTTTTATCATTTGCTGCCTTTTCTTTCTGTTAAGAAAACAGACCGTGATATGGTAAACACTAATTTCCACCTCGTACATCTGCACACGGACATATTCAACTCTAAAACCGTCTACGCAACCTGCTTCTACACGCTGAACTTCCTATTGACAAAGATGAGATGAAAGTTTCCAGGGAGAAGTGCTTTCCTTCTATTCTGTCCTGAATGTGCTACTGGGAAGTGCATAATATAAAAGCAGCCATGGCTGGGGTTAAAAGAATTCCTATTTTAAATAGGCATTCAATTAAATTAGCTAAAAAATGTTGAACTGGCCTGTATTTCTGCTGTGCTGCTGAAAGGCATACCACAGAACAAAAAGAACATCTACAGCTAGTGGAAATAGCAGAATACTTCAGATGTGCTATTAATGCCTATTTAGAAAACTGTAACAAAGCTGTAGTCAAAGGACTTTCCCCCTTCCCTGCCAGAAATATTCCTTACTATAATAAACCATTTGTGTGATAGACAAGTTGGGGGCTCAACAGCATCACTTCAGTAACAACGTGAACTTTGCATGTATTATTTAAGCGCAGTTTTTTATATGTGGATCAGGCTAAACCAAAACAAAACTTGATGCTACAACTTCTGTAGTAATAGTTTTCTATATGGCAAGGTCAGACCCCCATACAGTAACAAGCGTGACTCTCATTAGTTTCACTTCCAAGGATCTGCCTCTTGCTGCCAATAAGTAAGTGCACTAAGCAAACTAGATTAGTTCCTCGCTTGATTAACCCAGTTCCAACAAAGGAACCATAAATATCTGCAAAATTACTACTCACAGGTAAGTGAAGATAAACAGGTAATTACTGAAGATATCTCTCTCTCTCTCTCTACTCAGAAGATGGAGCTGTCTCAGTGACTAGAAGTTACAAAAGTATACTTTATTTCAACACCTCGCTTATTAGTGTACAAAATTAATTCACATTAAAAATGAGCTGCTAGCTCAGGGTAAACTCAGATAGAGTATAAGGGGCAAAGTCACCTGATTCTTCAATGATACCAATGATTAAAAATTCACCAAAATTAACACCAACTCCTATAACAATGCAGAAAATTTAAGGCAGGAGGTTAGTAAGAGAAGGAAGAGAGTCACCAGAGGAGGAAAGGGAAGAGTAAGCCTCCACTCGCTCTTTTCCCCCTCTGTTGGCTTTCAAGAGAGGCAGCAAAAAGATAAACATCATAATATCAGCACCCAAGTATTCTGGTACTGTTTGGCAGTAAGATTAAGAATTGCAATACTTTGCTCTCTGTCACTTGAACAGACCTCATCAGACCTCTGAAGCACATGTAAGTAGACCACTGTGAAGGGCTCCTCCAGCAGCACCGGTATGCTCCAAACTCAGGAGCACAGGCATGTTAGTCACTTGCTCTTCCAATGTAAGCCATAAAGGATTTTTAAAGACTTGGGGTTGTTTGAAGAAGGGTATCTTTTCCCTTTACCCCATTAAAAAAAAGTCAATAAAGTATTAACAGAGCTAAAACTGTAATTCTCTGTAGCCCACTCTTTGCTGGTAAAGCCCCTCTTAAGAAAGCTTTCAAGGAGAATCTACAGTAACTGGCTTCCATGGCTGGACTGACCGGAGAGAAAGTGTCTCGCAGCACAGAGCTGTGAGTGAGGATCCCGGGATCTCTGCTCTGTTCTGCAAGATCCGTGGCTTCTGGGGACAAGCGAATGGCTATTCTGTAAGGACCAACACTCACAACCAAGTGAGTCCAGGAAAAAAAATACCCAAGGAGACGACATTATTTTTCAATGTCCAAGCTTCTTCCATCCTCTCAGCTAGTTCTGAGCTAATACCACTGTATTAATTTTCCTGAACAATTTTTCTATACAGATGGCAACATCAATTCAGTAATAAGGTCATGTGTTTTATAAAGTGATAGAACTTTTTTCCCAGCTCTATGTTTTTCAATATGGCCAAGTTTAGAAGGTAAAATCTATTCTGACACACAAAAAAACATTTGAAGAACCTGAAGGTTACATATTTGAGGGAAACCAGAATTAAAGATGCCTGCACAATTCTTATTACATCCCCCTTTGCACAGATACTGATCCAGTATTAGGAGCTCTAGAGAGCCAAAAATGCAGCTCAAGTATCCTGGCTTCAAACCAGCACCACAGAAGCAAGAGGACCAACGCTTTCCAAGTCCAACTGCGGGGCAATGTGCGGTGCAATGACCAAGGCACCGCTCCCAGCAGAACTAAACCGTGTATGATCCCAGAGGGAGGCCGCACCATACAGCTTGTGCAGGAAGGGAGCAAACTAAGTTTTGACAGTCGCTTACAGTCCTTAACTTTTGAATGTTTATTTTCACAACTTTTAAGATTCGGTTAACGCAGCTTTCGTGTATAAACCCCGAGATGTTTCCATAAAAATAAAAAAGCAAACTTGAAAAAAAAGAAAATACCAACAACGTGCATCGTATCCAACTGCACTGAGCTCTGCATGGGTCATCAGCAGAGGCTGAACCCAGGACTTTTAGATCCCCAAGCCAGCTCTCTGCCACTTGGGCTGGAAGAGCAGCCACCAGCGGTAGGCTCTCCTCCTCCCAGGGTACCAGCAGACACCAGAAGGAGATGCAATCCAGAGTGTGCCAGCCGCATGAGCACCACAGGAATGCGGAGCAGCAGGGTTCTGAGGTTCCCCTGCCGCTCTGGAATGGGATCTAGAAATCTGGCTGCACGACCAAGATGCAGATGCAAAAAACTTGCTCTCCACACCATTGCAATTACAGAGCTGAGATGCGGGATCCCCAAACCGACAAGCAGGGTTCTCCTTCTTGTCCATTTCTCATGACATCTCTGATGCTCCATATAGAAGGACTTGGAGGTAGAATAGTTTTCATCATCTGGAAGTCTGCTGTGCCATATGCAATTGCAAGGCCTTTTAAACGTACAGAAAAGAGCTCCTGGTTCCCAGCCCGTCATCCCCTTCTGCAACTAAAGCATCTCTTGCACCTGTGTTTTGTCCATACGACCACCAAAACCACAAAGGAAAATGTACGATGGGAACAGGTTAAAAAGAACGCTAAAGTTCTGTTGTTGTTGGTGGTTTTTTCCCCAGCTGCAAAATCCTAATACAATCTGAGTATTTACAGAGACATCTAAAAAAAAGCACTGCAAACTGTGACCGCTGGGGCAGTCTGTGACAGGAAAGGGGTATAAAGAAATACCACATATGGATTGCAGAACTGTCCCCTTTTAAATTTCAGACTGTTAATCCAAAGCAAAAAGGAGCTTTAAATAGTTTCTTTTTTAACTATACTATCAGGTATGCCAAGATTTCTGGCATTTCCAAAAATATCCAGCTTAAGGAAACTGGTACATAGAACTTTATCTCCAGTGATTAAAATTTGATAAACTGATAACTAGCTGAAAAGAGTGCCTTTGAATGAAAACATAGTAAGAAACTATAATTAAAAGCATGATTTTCAATACTGTCTCTGAGTCTCTGATCTCTATGCAAAGCATCGTTTTCCCAACAATGCATTACACGAAACTTCAGAATGGCCTTGCAAGGCAAGCAGCAAAGCCTCACCACAACTTATTTAAAATCTGTTCAGTTTCCCGCATTCCTTCACTAGGAATTAGATAAAATGATCTTTACATCTTTCAAGTTCTTCTAACTCACATAATTCAATCTTAACCCTTTCAAGAAAATGATGAAAAACCAAAATGGTTAGTTGTGGATGTTTTTTCCCCCCTATAAACACCTTGAGAAAGAAAAGTATAACTTCAGTTCAAGAGATCTCGAAGACTTACCTTAGGTGCTGCCTTTTTGGGCTTTGGCTCCGGTTTAGGCGGAGCAGGTTTCTGTACAAAACATACATAAGAAACAGAGTCAGATGAATGCTATAAATGTTTTAGCAACATGCTGTTAACTTTTGAAAACTAATCAAACAAAAAATAGTTTAGAGCTGTCTGCTTCATTCTGTAGTATAAAGAAGTAAATGTCAGAGACAGATCAACATGTTTCATTAACCAAACCCGCGTTTCCTCACGTATGTTACAGTGGCACAGATGCTGATAAGAGTAGTAAGTGGATCATTACTGTGTCTGGGTGTTACTGTCTGCTGTGAAGGCAAGCGTGTGTCAGAAATGAAAGGTATTAACATTTGGACACAACTCTACGTATGAATACATATCTTAGCTTTCACTAAAATTAAGTACTTTCTTTTTTAAATAGCAATCGTTATCCACTTGGCATTTCCAAGATGGCTTAAAAAAGGGCTGGGTGCACTATGTGTCTGTAGAAGAGGATGCCAAGAGCCTGTTTAAGGCTGCGACTTTGGGCTGAACCCTATTGCCCGACACAGATTTATACCCTCTATGTCTCAGTTTACCCAACAGTTGAACCGGCAAAATCAATAGGCAAATTACAAGTATAAGGAGAGAGCAGGCCACTTATAGACCTATGAGCAGGTACTTGTATGGAGAAGACCTACAAAGAACAAACGCATCTTGAAATCAATATTCCTTGACTCTGGATACTCATGCGTCCAGACCTCACGTTAACTAACACAGCTGTTGCATCTCACATGAAATGTCTAAAAGTAAGCCTGTAATGTGTTGATACTCGAGGACCGAAAGCATAAAATGGGAATTTTACTTTTAAATATTGCAATACTCTAGCCATGCCTTTCACAATACCGGTGGGAAAAAACCAAATAGTTTCTCTGTAACTGTCCCCTAGAACGTAACACCCCACGTGATGTAATATTAAGAGAGTAAATAAAGATACTTACAGCAGATAGTCTAGCTGACCTTCTCTTTGGCTATGTAAAGAAAGATGTGTCACTAAAATTCAGAGAGCATGTAAAGCAGTGCTTTCCCAGAACCGCAACCCAGAATAACACGGCACGTGCACTACGCCACGAAGCCCCATACAAATTCGAGGGTTTATGAAATTACGGGCATTATGGCGATGACTTCCCGGAAGTGCAGCTTTGTTCCATAGTTCCCACCCTACGCTGCCGCCCTTTTACCCCACTGAGGTGGCAAGTGATATAAGTTTCTCTTACTTCCAGGAGTTGTGCCATTAAGGCTCTGCCACCGAGCCATTGCCTGCGAGGCTCAAGGGGACACGTTCCCGTTGGATCTGATGGCCTCAGCGCGGCGGAGCCGCTGCCTCCAGCCGGGACTCCCAGCACCCACCTCAGGCGAAGAGGCCAAGGGACGGGCCCGAGCACCCCAAACCCAGGCGCAAGGCCCGAGCCTGCACCCACCCCTGTGGGGGCCGCAGATCTGTGGAGCCCCCTAAAAGTTCTCGGGAGGAGTGGGGACCAGCACCTACCTCCTCCTTTGCCTCGCCTTCAGCTGGAGCCTGCAAGGAAAGCCAGAGACTGAGGTGAGAAGGCGACGCCATCCTCTGGAGCCCTGCCTGAGGCGAGCCTGGGGCGGGGGGTGGCCACCGAACCCCCAACACCACCCGGCCGACTAAAGCCGCCCCGCCCCGCTTCCCTTCATCCCCGCTCCCCCTGACCGCCCAGCGGGCCAGGATCGAGAGGGGAAACCCATGGCGGCATC